AAAAAAAAAAAAAAAAAAAAAAAAAAAACGCGCGCGAGTTTTATTATATTTTAGGAAAATACATTTTTAATAAATAAATTTTTACACTTATTAAATAAGTAAAATAATTAGTATTAAATTATATTAATAAGTGGAGTAGGTTCCATTGGACATTTATTACTACCGAGCTACAACTTACCTAAAAGTCCCGTGAAATAATTGAACGAAAATCGACGTTGACCTTCCGAGCACCCACTCAAAATAGGGAGAGCGCACTACCGCACCTGTCCCTAACCTATCTTATCATAGAAAACGAGATCATCAAAATAAACACTCACTCAAGGTATATAGATTTTCTTACACGTTTCAACTTGCTTCTAGGCTTAGGGAGAAAGGCACGAGCAGAACTTGTTTTCAGATCATTTGCTCTCAACGAAATGCCAGAATTAGAAGTTATAGATGTAGCTATCTTTGTTGTCAATACACGAGAGCTTGTACCTGATCTGCCCGAAACCTTTTATCAGTACGGGTTAATACGGGTAAATGCAATTAACAAAAATCTTCTAATATTTAATATATTTTTTTGAAAATAAATAAATAAAAATAGGTAAACATTCTCCAATTTTTTATTTGTAAATTTGAGTTAACGACAATGGAATCAGATACCAAACCAAAATAATAATAACAACAATGAACAGAAGGAGGCACCGTTGGTTAATGGCGAATAATTCTTCTAAAAACTAAGCTTCTTTAAGACTCATTCATCTTCAGAATAAATTCCCTCTTCACTTAACCAAAAACTTTCCCATAGAACCAACCATCAAACAGTTAGTTCCATTGCTGCAGCAGCAACCACGCGACTTCGAGGGAGCCGGGACTCGGTTGGTTTTCCATCTCCATGGAGGTCGGGATCGGGGCTACGTCGAGGAGGAGCCGGTTTTCTTCGTACGACCGGTGGGTGGCGGTAGGACTTGGGATTCTTGCAGTGGTTTCGCCGCTCTATATCGACCGGAGACCAAGCTTTGATGCGGAGGAGGAGGAGGAATCATCCATGAATCTTGGGTTCTGGTTGCCTGCTCTTCTCATAACCTTGATCTTCATTATTGCTGGAGTGCTTCACTTGGAACAGAGATGCGCCAGATTTGATGCTTATTGGATTCACAGAGTTGGTGGCTCTTCTTGTGGCATATTCATAGTTCTTCTGCTTCTTGCATTTGTTTTGAAGTGTAAAGCTTCTTTGATGTTCTGGGACCCTTGAACGCTTAGCTTTCCAAATTCTTCTTTCTCTGCTCTTAACTTTCAGCATACCTTTTACTTTCATCAATGGATAGTAAGCTTAGAGTTGAAGAAATCTATACCTTTTGCAGTTTTCTTTTCTTTTTGTAGCATAAATTTATGGCGTATTTGGATTGAAGCGTTCTCTGTTTCATATGAGTATTTGAGGCGTAACAACCCCGGACCCAAGTCCACTGCTAGCAAATATTGTCCTCTTTAGGCTTTCCGGTCTCCCGTGATTTCACACCCTTATAAGGAATGTTTTGTTCCCCTCCCCAACAGATGTGAGATTCACACCCTTATAAGGAATGTTTTGTTCCCCTCTCTAACAGACGTGGGATCTCACAGTGGTTTCGCGAGAAGGCCAAGACCTCACATTTGTTGGAGTTGGGAGCAAAGCATTCCTTATAAGAGTAGAAATCTCTATTTAACAAACGCGTTTTAAAACATTGCTGGGAGGCCCAAAAGAAAAAGCCCAGAGAGGACAATACTTGTTAGCGGTGGGCTTGGGTCGTTACAAATGGTATCAGAGCCAGACACCGGATGGTGTGACAGCGAGGACGTTGGGCTCCCAACGAGGGTGGATTGTGAGATCCTATATCTATTGGAAAGGGGAATGAAGCATTTTTATAAGGGTACGAAAACTTCTCCCTAGCATACACGTTTTAAAACCTTGAGGAGAGGCCCATAAGGGGAAGCCCAAAAAGGGCAATATTTGTTAGTAATAGGTTTGGGTCGTTACAAATGGTATCAGAGCTAGACACTGGATGGTGTGCCAACGAGGACACGCTCGGCTACCAAGGGGGTATATTGTGAGATCCCACTTCTATTAAAGAGGGGAAGAAATCATTCTTTATAAGGGTGTGAAATTTCACACCCTGAGTAAGCACGTTTTAAATTCTTGAGGAGAGGCCAAGAAGGGAAAGTCCAAACAGGTCCTTTCATCATCATAGATCAGCTAAAAAAATCTGATTCATTTCAAACATCACAGTACTTAATACACTGGAACTTTCTATATCAGCTCACTGAGAAAAATGGCTCCTATGAGATCCATGAATTCATGAGATATTACAATATATAACGACTTGATAACAGAAAAACACGAATCGGGCACACCGAAAACAAATCAAAAACCATAGAGTCAAACAAAGAATACAAGGTTTTTTCATGTTTGGATGAGAGCTGATGATCATAAACCAAAGACATATGTTATAGCAACCAAAGATGTCAAAGCTAATAGCAACATACGTGTGGTTAAGAACTGGCTATTGGCTTTGCTGCATTGGTCATTAGCCCCACTGTAGCAACCAGGCCGCGTTAACTTAGCCACACCTCCCTCAAAGGCAAAGCTATTAGAGAGGCTGCCATTGCTGAACAACACACACCAAAAGTAAGGCGAGCCCCCATCAGTGCCAGTTACAGCAGCTCCAACTTCTGTGTTGTTCTTGTAGTTGAGAATCTCCAAGCTCTTCTCATTCAGCATCAAAACATCAGAAAATGCTTCAGGAGCATGAACATATTTAGACTGGCAACCAAGCAACCGCCCCGTGATGGGAGCAAGAGAAGAGACAAGAACTCCACAATTGGGAGCAAATGTTTCAGTAAATGCAGAATTTGGAGGCTTCATTCCGTCGGGACCTCCGACCGCGTCGCATTTCCCTTGGTATGCCTTGATATACTGAAGAGCAAGGCATGCCAAGCCAGGATTGTCTTTTAGAGCAGGCAATTTGTGAGCAGTTCTGTTCTTGTTAAGCACGACTACTAGTTTATCAGCAGGGTTATCTGTCACATTTGCTGCAATTGTTCCAGATCAACAGCAGGTAAGTTCTCATACTCTCAAGAACACAAACAAAATCAGAAACTAAGCAATCAGCAGGATGGGGCAACAGATCTGAACTTAGAAATGTTCGTGGCTGTTACCGATCAATCATTTAGGTAAGAATGCAAGAACCCAGTAGCAATTATTGGTTGAACATTCAAAGAAGAAGAAAAAACAGAAGCTCCCAGATCAAATGCAGATCAATTACAACAAACCCAGAAGAGAATCTTCAAATCTAGAATCAAAAAATGCACTATACACAGAAGAACTTGAAATCATAAGCTTAAAGAGACAAAAAAAATGGCTGTTGAAGTAAGAAAAATGAGCAAATGGGTACGAGAAGAATATCGACTTACAATCAGCTGCAGAAAACACAGAAACGAACAGAGCACAAAACAAGAGACACCATAGAATCTTGGTCGCCATAGAGCTGTCTTTCGGAGAGAGAGAGAGAGAGATTAAGTCAGAATGAGGAAAGAAGAAAAAGTGAGATTTAAGCGACGGAGAAACTTGTGTTTCACTCGAAGGGCAGCGGCCATTGATTTGGTGAGTGAGTAACTAAAAACCACAGGATTTCATTATTAGGGCCCAAACCAAACAGATCGGCAGCAACCACCATCGGCCATTTCTTTTGTTTTTGTTTTGTTGATAACATTTTCACGTGTTGGTTCCTGATGCATTGTCGGTGGCTGTTCGTTCATTTCTCAAACAAAGCTGTCTCGAATGTCCTCATCTACTCTATCCATTATAATATTCCATGTATGTTTTTGAATATGCGAACAAATTTGTCGCGTGGAAGTGCTCAAATTTGAGTGTCGGCACCACAACAATGACCCATTACAGAGTTTTCCATAAAGGCGCCAACAAGCGTCCTTTAGAACATTTTTCAGGGTAATCTTCTCAAATTAAAGCATGAACTTTAAAGACATCGGTGGCACTAATGGTTCAGAATCAGAAACGTAATAATAGGATGAACAGTTCACTGATTGTATCCACAGAAACTTGAAAATAATGTGTTCACAATCACTCATTTTTAATCTCTCATAGACACTGCAAAACTGAATTAAAGATGGAAGGCTAACTTGGGTGGTAGCAATATAGACAAGAGATAACTTATTTTTTAAGCTGTCACAAAGATAAACTAACTATATACCCCAAGCAAATGGAAGCTGACAGAATTCAAGACCATCCATGTACATATAGCGAAACTTGGGTCGTCTCCCAAACTCGGAATTAACAGGTGGGAGGAAAATTTTGTAGGGAAGAGAAGAATTAGTCATGTTGGAGACAGACTGCTGAAGATCCGCTTCAAACTTGCACAAGCGATACGCAGTTGTACCATGCTAATTGAGGAGATCTGCCGGTAGAAAGAAATATTTCAAAGTCAGCAAAAACCTATCAAACAATGTAGAAAAGGGCAAGAGAGACACCCCCCCACCTTTGGACAAAAGCGGACATCCAACGTCTCGAGCATGCTACATTTAGATACTGCAGCTACAACCGCTTCTTCCTCGATGTTGCAAGACTAGGGAAACACAGATCTAGTTAGTTTCATATCATATGCATCTCTTAACTCCCATTTCTTTTGTTCTTTTTCATGTCTTTTGGTCCTTTCTTTTTTTTTTGGGGGGGGGGGGCTTCAAACATCGTAGATACAGACACATAAGGTGTATAAAGCTTGAAACCCAAGTATTGTTCAGACAACAAAAGAGGAAAAATAGAAATCCAACAATTTTAATGAAATGATTCCTACAATGGATGACTTCCTATCCCAACAAAATTTCGAGTGGAGAAGGGTCCCCTTAAAACCAGAGGCCGGCAGAGGGGGTCTGGGTGGGAGTTCAACCCAGGTCTTGACCCCATCTTTTACCCGCCCGCGTTTCAGAAGACAAGATTCTGGACTATTCAGAGTGGAGTTGTATTAACATCCAAAATGTACATGGAAGAAGAAATAAATACCTGAAGAAAGAGACTGGTCAACTTTGGGCAGTCGAGTTTCAAAACTTCCAGAGAGCAACAATTACTAGACCACAAAAACATGGATTTAGCAAAGTAGACCAAAAAATACCCGACTAGCATTGTTAATGGAGCAAAAGGGTGAGGAAGTATGACCTCAAATTAAGAAAGCATAGGTTGTAACAAGAAACGTCGACTTCCTTGAGATTTGAAGACAGGGATAGGTTTAATGACGATAAATGAAAACAACGTGCAGCTGGAGGAATGAGAACCTTCCTAATATTCTGACAGCCTACACAGTTAAGATTCTGTAACAAACGATTTGGCTGTGCAACTGGTTCCTCAATCTCATCAAGAGTGGCTTGACCAAGAGGAATGGGGATGCTGGACAAAGAAAGCTGTCCAATGCTACAACCCCAATTTAGATCATGCATGTTCACACATCCATTTAAGCTCACATGAGTTAAGTGTGTGCAACAAGCAAGAAGCTCTTCTATGGCAGATTGACAGAGCGTCCCGTAAGATAAGTCCAACTCTTGAAGAGCTGGAAGAGCACCTTCCTTATAAAGAGGCTCTAGCGATGAGTCAGATAAATACTTGCATGCTTGTAGTTTCAATACCTTCATTAAGAGTTAAGGAAAAAAAACATCAATACAACAGAAGATCAGACTGGCTCATAATAATATTTGAGTAAAATCTAAACTGCCTAAACAGCAATATATCTAAAACAGAGGTTACCTTAAGTTGTATACAAGACTCAAAGACTGGCTGCAAGCTCATCAAAAAGGTATATGATAAATCAAGCACAACCAACTTCAGAAGACATCGCAGAGAGTAAAGGCCCTCTGAACCAACCGAAGGGCATGACATCAGTATTAACGACTCAATCTGTGGACATGAGGCAGTCGTTGCAGACAAACACTCGTCTTTCAGTTGGCTGCAAGCGAAAAAGAACTCAATGACATAAGCAACAAGTATCTATCAAATAGAAGTTGCCATCCAAATAATCATAACAAACTAACCCACAAAAGGAAGCATCCAATGATGTTAGACGAGGACAATTGATGGCCGCCTCAGACAATCCACCACAACCTTTCAACTCAAGCAAATCCATACAAGGGGCCTCAACTCTTAATTCATTCAATTTGGGACAGATTCCCAAGTTTAATGACCGCAGACCAACCTTACAAAAGAGAGATAAAGAAGAAACCTCAATCCTAAACACTAGGCAAATATTTATAGTGACTGAAAAAAATTCACAGATAGGCAGCTTTCACATACTGGGGAAAACGATGCTCTCTCGAGATGATCACAGCCATCTAGAGAAACCTGTTCAAGATTAGGACATTGAAGTTCAAGGGAAGTGATTGCCCGGCAACCAACAAGGGAAAGACTGCCCAAAGAACTGCTACAGAATTGAACAGCAGTCAAACTCTGAGCAAAAGAAACATGTTCACATTAGAAATCAATGGAAAGTCAAAAACAAATAATTTGCAAATATGAAACCACAAGGAATAATACCATGATACTAAGGGGTAGCACCAAGCAACTTACCTCGCAGTTATCAAGAACAAGCGATCTCAACATAGGGCAGCCACCACCATCACTAAAAACCTCACAAATAGAATTCGTTAGTGACTCACAGTCTGTGAGGTCCACATCTTGCAAACTAGGGCACTGCAAAACCAATTTGGCCAAGCTCTCTTGTTTCTTCAACACTAACTTCTGCAAGTCCACAAAAGTACAGTCCAATGTTCTTTTATACCCCTATAAGATGAAGTTAGTAAGGAAGACAACTTTAAGATCCATTGTGACATACTTGAAGAAAATTGGAAGTGATGTTGATCCGGTGAAGTGATGGACAATTAGAGACCATTATGGATGATAATTTAACACTCTGTAAACTCAAGTCAGAGAATCTGCAAGAATAACAAAACTGATTCAACTCAAGGAAAAGAAGTGAAGGCCCAGTCCAAAAGTCATTCTACATGAAATTAATCACATGATGGATGCACTAAAAGTCGCATGAAGTTGAGAAGACATACTTGCGGCAATGGACAAGTCTGATATTCTGCAAATGAGGAAGATCCAGAGAGACGGAAGTCAAAAGACTGCAATTATCAAGCTCCAAAACCTGCAATAAGTCTCCAATCCATTTTCAACTACTTCAGATACAGCATCGGGCAAGTAAAAAACAGAAAAGGTAGAAATAGGTTAGTTTAGACCTTCAAACTAGAACTACTAGATATTGCGGTCATTGAAGCTGATGTGATGCCCTCACAGCTGTGAAGCTTAAGCACAGTCAGCATTGTCAATCTTACAGACTTCAGGAAAAAAAAAAGGAACAAAAATATCAGATAAGAAGTCTGAAGGGGAAAATAGTCACTTTCACTTAAAAGTTTAACTAAAATGGTATGCCACCTCCAAAGATATATTTGGGCAGTATGATGCATTCAGAAGCTGGAGATTCAGGCAGTTTGAGGAAATTTCACGTAATGTCTCATCACTAACACATGAACAATTGGACATATCAAGAGATTCCAACTGTGGGCATGAAATAGCGGCTGAGCGAATAGCAACATCTGAGAGCTTGTGGCAAGAGCCTATATCCAGGTCATGAAGAAGAGGGCAATTAAGAACAGCCTGTGCCATGTTGCTGCGCTTCAACGACAATGTTTTAAGTTGTGGACATCTGCAAGAAAACATACTTCAGACCAAAAAAAAAAAAAAAAACA